ATTCATATGGTGTTTGTGTTGTGCCTGGACGGAGATAGACTCGGTTGATGATGTGACATGTGGTGTTTACAGCCTCTGTCCAGAATTTCTGTGGTAATCCTTTGGCATTTAGCAATACCCTTCCCATTTCTTGAATGGTGCGATTTTTCCGTTCTACGACTCCGTTTTGTTGTGGTGTCTTTGGAGCTGAATACTCATGGGTAATTCCTGATTGATTGCAAAACTCATCGAACAACTTGTTTTCGAATTCTCTGTCGTGATCACTTCGAATTCGAATAATGAGTTCATTTATTTCCTTTTAGAGTTTTAGTCCCAGTGTTTTTGTGACACCCCAAAAATCCACATTCAATCCATGGATTAATTGAGTAATTAATCCTATTTTTATTTGAGGAATTAATTCCTAAAATCCTGATTTTTAATACTCAAGGACTAGAATTTGACTAGTCAACCTTTAAGTTGTGTTGTACCTTGTGCTTTGAGGGGAGTTCCCTTTTTCCTTACACTTTCTAAGGGTTAGTAAGGGTATTCTTGTCTTTTCACCAAGAGTTAGTATTGTAACCTAACCTAGAAGACTTCTTCATTTCATTCCCTACAATTCCTAGAAAATAGTTCTACCTTCTCTAGAAAAGAAGTGTAGCTTATTCTCCAAGCCAAGTTGAGACCCTTGTCAAGATTCCAAGATTTGCTTCCAAGATTCAACCTTTCACCTATTTGGGCATCTAGAAGGGTAAGATCTAAGTTCATCTTGTGTTTTTGGTTCCATCTTAGTTGTCTTTTTCTTAAAGGTAGAATCTTTATGATCTTTTGGTTTAATCTTGAAGTGGGTTTGGAAAGTAAGCCTTGTGGGGAGCTTGTTGTGGTGTAAAATGAAGTCTTTTGGTCTTCAAGAGGTAGCCCATGCTCTACAAAACCTATTTTGCTTACCTATATGTGATTTCTTGGATTCTACATGTGTTTTGCTATGAAATGTGAGGGTTTATGCATTTGTCTTGTGATATTGCATATCTAGAGCTTGTGTTTAGGGTTCCTTTGTGCCATTGCATGGCATTTTCCATGATTCAAGTCATTTTGTTGTATTGGGTGAGATTTGGCATGTTTTGGACTTGAATTTGTGTTTGGAGAAGAAAATCCCCGAAGGGATTTATTGTGGAACATGGTTGTTCCCGCGGGCGGAACGGCGGGCGGCGCACCACCCGCCGGCCTACCCGCGGGTACATAGCTTGTGGGATGGTGTTCCCGCGGGCGGAACCACGGGTGGGGCACTACCCGTGGGTCCACCCGCGGGGTACACGAGTGGTGTTTGTTCGGGATTTGTTCCCCGTGATTCTTTTGACTTGGTATTTGGTCTTTTGACTTCCCGATGTTCTTTTGTGGAACTATTTGAGTGTCTTCTTGATGTTTCGTACGTCTAGAACTATATGGTAGGTATCCATGTAGGACTTTGGTGTCTTGAATCGTGCTAAGTGTTCAACATTGTGTTTCGTTGGACCAAGAGGTGTCTTGTGTGTTCCTCGGAACTATCTTGAGTTTCCCCGTGGATAAGCATGCTAGTTTGTTGTCTTAATGCTAGCGTGTGTGTTGTTTGTACCTTCCGTTTGGTTGAAGATAACTTGTGTTATCCATCGTTGTTGTCGTTGGGTTGTGACCCATTCCTTGATTGAGTATGTTTCATACCTTCGTTGTGATCCGTTGTTTGACTCTCGTGTGAGTGGTGGTGCGTGTGTCGCTCTACCTGGATTGCACGATTAGTGGTATGGGACACTAGTCACCAAGGTATTGCAGCGGTCCTCGTGGTGGCCGTGACGTGATTATGGATTGTGGCTTGGGTGATGGGTCCATGTTTTGGGGGGATAACATGCGTTATCCGGGCATGTGTTGCCGTGATTGGTGGTGTTAGTTGGTGGTTGTTGGTGGGGGACGACGGTCCCGGGGGAATAAGGTTGGACTAAGAAGTACAGGGGTCCTGGAGGTAATGGTTGGAAAAGAAGGTACAAGGTTGGGGGTAGCCATAAGGTTGGAACAGGGCATAAGGAAGGCATACCAACTCGTGATGGGTGATGTTGCAAGGGCTTGTAACCCGGCGTTGTGTGATCTTCTCTCGTGACGTGTGTAGTCACGGAGGCTTGTGTTGTTGTGGCATGTGTTGCCGTTAGGTGAGTCTTTATCCTTGTGTGTGGTTAACCATTGTGGTTTGGGATGTGTTCACGTGTTATCCTTGAGAGTGATGAGTCTTGTGTTGACAGTTGATCTTGGTTTTGACTTATATATATGTATTCCGTTTCGAAAATGGTTTTATGACTTATATCTATCTATTTATGATACTTAACGGTATTGGTGGGTTACCAGCATTATTCGCTGACCGGGCATCGTCCCATGTTTATCTTTGTATCTTTCAGGTGATGTTTAGACGAGCGCGATGTCTAGAGCCTGGTAGCTTAGCACCTTTATCCTCGTTTTTGTGGCCTGTGCGCCGATGTAGTTAGATTGATGTTTTGGGATAGATGTACACACTTGCAGATTGTTTGCCGTAGCATTTACCGTGTTTCGTAGACGTGGCGTGACACCCCGTTGGATTTCTTTTATCCAGTTTCGTTTTTATCTTCCGATGTGCTAGTTTTGTCGCTTAATCTGCATGTGTTAAGGCATTTATATACGTCTTGTTTGGGGGTGTTACAGTTGGTATCAGAACCTAGGTTTGAGCCTAGGAAGAGTTAAGTCTAGACTTTCTAAGTGGTTAAGTGTGTTTTGAGACCTCTAAGTGACCTTAAGAAGCTAAGTGTTAGGCTTAGGACTCTAGGTTGCGCGGTGAGATGTGTGTTGCTTTCTGTCTTGCTTGCTTGCTCTTTTTGGTAATCTCGTTGTTTTTGTAGAAGTCTGCGATGCCTCCTCGTCCCTGCGCTCGCACCCCGGAGACCCCGACCAACGAGCAGCTCGCTCAGCATCTCCATCAGCTGACGCAGACGATGCAGACGCTCAGTGAAGCCTTGCTGAACAACAATCAAGCTGTGCCGCCTCCTCCCCCTGCTGCGCATCGCGATGTAGGTCGTTTGGTGTCAGGGCATCGGCCGCCAACCTTTGTTGGCGAGGAAGACCCTGTAGTCCTAGAAGAGTGGCTACGGGTGTTTGATAAGATCTTTACCGTGGTGGGTTGCCCTGAAGAAAGGAGAGTAGAACTGGCAACGTTCTACTTCTGCCAGGAAGCTGATCTGTGGTGGGTCCACGAAGGTCCGACCTTCCTTGAAGAGCCTGGGTTTTATTGGACCGCGCTCAAGGACAGAATGCGCGAAAGGTTCTACCCAGCGCATGTGCGAGCCGCCATGTTTGATGAGTTCCTTCATCTGCAGGAAGGATCCTTATCTGTGGTTGAATACCACAAGAACTTCTTGGAGATGGTGCGCTTCGCGAGGAGGCTTGTGCCTACAGAGCTTGCCAAGGTTGAGCGTTTCGTTGCCGGTCTGAATTATGAGGCACGAAAAGCGTTGACGGTGAGTAGGCCCAGTTCCCTTAAGGATACGTATCTGTGTGCCGCGGATCTATTTCGTGTTCAGCAGCTTCAGAGGGGTTCGTATGAGTTAGCTAGGAAGAGAGTTGAGAACGGAGGTTCTTCCACCTTCAAGAAGCCCCGACCGAGCTTTCAAGTTAAGGCCGTGTCATCTTCTTCTCAAGGACCTATCAGAGTGGAGCATCAGGATCAAGCTAAGTCGGTTGGTTGTCGAAGGTGTGGGAAGGTGCACGCAGGCCATGATTGTTATGGCCAGGCGTTTAGGTGCTTCCGATGCGGGGATCGTGGTCACAGAGTCGCGGAGTGTCCCCAGCTTGCCGGTCAGAGAGCGTTGCCACCACCCCCGAGAGCCGGAGGAGCACCAGTAGGGAGTTCAGGTCGCGGAGCTGTCGGAGCTAGGCCACCCGGAAGAGTTTTTGTGATGGCGCGTTCTCAGGCTGAGTCGGAGGGCTTGATAGAGGATGAAGTGGCAGGTAACCCCTTTCTTCTAGCCTACCCTTGTTTGTTCGTCCAGAATCATCGTGTTCGTTGTATCTTGAGTGTTACCTTGTGTTTCATAGTTGTCTCTTGTTTAGCAATCCTTGGTATGCTTTCTTTGATAGCATTTCTGTTGACATAAGACATATTGTCAAATTCTAGTCAAACAAGGAATTCTTAATCAAACGTATCTTAGGATTTATATTCCTAATCCAAAGAGGATCGGCAATCCCAATCCCATCAATATCTCATCTCTTGACCTATAAAAGGAGCTGCTCCACAACTCATCAAGACACGCTTTCAGCACCTAATCGTGAGCACAAGAGTAATTGAGAGAGATACTCAAATCCCCTTGAAAAGTAGTACAAGTGTTTAGGTCTCAATAGCTTGATAGGAAATCATATTGTGTAACCCCCGTTCCCTAAACAAAGTGTACTTTAAATATTGAGCTTTTAGTGGATTTAGGCAAATTCTCAATGTGAGAAGTGCCTCGCAGATTAGGGCTGCTTGCCCGAAACTGCGTTATAAATATTTGTGTCACAACGTCTGTTTCAACGTTACCAAATTCAAACGTCTATATTAATTTCAATTGGTATCAGAGCAGGTCTGCTCAAGTTACCAGCAGGATCCAAATGGAGTTCCCAAGAGAAGGTCTTTCAAACAATAGACCCCCGGCTCTACTTGGCACAAACTTCTCCTACTGGAAAGCTCGAATGCAGATATACATTCTAGCACAAGGAGAAGGCGTCTGAAATGCAATAGAAAACGAATGGAAAACTCCAGTTGATGATAAAGGGAATGCAAAACCTAGAATTGATTGGAGCGAAGAAGAGAATACTGAATATGACTTCAACTCAAAGGCTATGAATGCAATATATGGAGCAGTGACACTTTTAAACTAATTGCGTCAACACGCATAGCCAAAATTGCGTGGAGTATATTGTGCGATCATCATGAGGGAAACACAACTGTAAGACAATCTAAGCTTCAGATGATACAAACCGAATTTGAAAACCTGAAAATGGGAGAGGAAGAAAGCATCACCCAATTCAGTGCCAGAGTCTTAAGTATATCCGGAGATGCGTTCAACCTAGGCGAACCTATACCCGAACATAGGATCGTAAAAAAGGTTCTACGCTCACTACCCGGAAGATTCCAAATGAAAGTCACCGCTATTCAAGAACATAAAGATCTGAATACATACAGACTAAGTGACCTAATAGGAAATCTTCAAACCTATGAACTGGAGATGCTACAAGGTCAGAAAAACAATGGAAAAGGAATAGCATTACAGTCCAGACAAGAAGAGAACTCAGAAACTGATTCAGAAACCATGGAACAGTCAATTGCACTACTAACGAAGAACTTTAACCGAGTTCTCAAGAAGTTTAATAAATCCAGGAATAAAAATTTCTCAAACAACCAAGTAAATTCTACAAATCAGAAACCGTCCAATCCAAAGAAAAGAGATAATGCAATTACTGAAGGAATACAATGCTATGAATGCAAAGGCTTTGGACACATTCAGTCAGAATGTGCTACATACTTGAAAAGGAAAAATAAAACATATATAACGATTCTGAGCGATGACTCAGATAGTGAAGAAGATGATAACAACACGAACTTCGTAGCATTCACTGCTAGTCATGAAGACAACAATAGTGATGACATGCAAGAGTTACTAGAGGCATACACTCAACTAAATGCCAAATGGGAGCAAATCATCAAGAAAAATTTGGAACTCATGGAAGATAATCACTATTTAAATAATGAAAAAGAGCGAATAGAGAAACAATACAAAGAAGCCCAGAACGAACTACTTGACCTCAAGAACAGAGAAACAAAACTGCTACAAGAAATTAAGGAGCTTACCGAAAGACCCGGGACTCCAAGCACGGACACCAGTGAGAATAACCAACCTGAAATACAGGAAGTGTCGCAACAGCACTTCCGACATCGAAGAAGAATAAGGTGCTACTATTGTCACAAACTAGGACACATCAAAACACATTGCTACAAAAGACAAAACGACTATTACTACAGACAAAACAACAGGGCATGGCCACCACACAACAGAAATAACAGCAAGAAAATCTGGGTAAGAAAAGACCAAAATGTTGCATACACTTCCAAAACAAACAAAGAGCAAGATATATGGTATTTTGACAGTGGATGTTCCAGGCATATGACTGGAAATCCAGAAAATTTAGAGAACATACACTATAAAGATGAAGGATATGTTACCTTTGGAGATGGAGGAAAAGGAAAAATTGTTGCAAATGGAATCCTGAATGTACATGGACTGCCAAAACTGACAAAAGTCTTCCTAGTACAAGGGTTAAAAGCAAACCTGATTAGTATAAGTCAACTATGTGAAGATGAACTTAAAGTGGAATTCACAAAAGATAGTTGCAATGGGATGGTGATCTATCTTGCTTACAGACAACCGTCAATCAAACACAGCTATGGCACCAACGAATGGGTCATATAAACTTTCATGACATGAAAAAGGGTTTAAAGAAGGGAGCCTATCGAGGAGTTCCAACACTTGACATAGATGATAATAAAAAATGTGATGCATGCCTTGAAAACAAAATAACCCGAACAGCCCATAAGAAGACCTCAGGAATATACACTTCTAGAATTCTAGAACTACTACACATGGACTTGTTTGGACCAACTCAGACAGAAAGCATAGGGGGAAAAAGATATGTCTATGTAACAGTTGATGACTACTCAAGATTCACATGGGTAAACTTTCTTAGAGAAAAATCTAAAGCATTTGCAACATTCAAAACCCTCATTATCAAAATTCAAAATGAAAAAGAGGGAAGAATAGGAAAAATTATTCGCCTAAGAAGTGATCATGGAAGAGAGTTCGAGAATACAAAATTCAAAGAATACTGCACAGAAAATGGAATTCATCATGAGTTCTCCGCACCAAAAACACCCCAACAAAATGGGGTAGTTGAACGAAAGAATCGAACCATCCAAGAAATGGCAAGAGTCCTCTTAAATCACAAAAGACTTCCATCAAGATTCTGGGCAGAAGCAGTTAACACAGCATGCTACTTGATAAACCGAGTATTCATTCGAAAAGAAATCAACATGACACCATATCAAATCTGGAAAGGAAGAACACCAAATTTAAAACACACACATGTGTTTGGAAGCAAATGTTATATTAAAAAAGATAGAGAACCATTGGGAAAGTTTGATATCAAAGGAGATGAAGGAATCTTCCTAGGATACTCCACAAACAGCCGGGCATACCGAGTATATAACCTTAGGACAAACACTGTCATGGAGTCTATCAATGTTGTGGTCAATGACACAACAGAAGATTTTCCCAAAAATGATGAAGAGATAACTGGGGTTGAAACAGCAGTTCCAACATCACACAACCATAAATCAGAACCAGAAACATTAGAAAAAGAAGAAGCTGTAGACCTTGAAGAAAAAGAAGAAATCCACACCACTGATGAAACCAGGGTACAGAAAAATCATCCAATAGAAAACATCATAGGAGGACTAAATGAAGGAATCAGGACTAGAGGAAAGAAACGAGACTATCAAAAAATTGAAGAAGGAGACTATGACTACTGCTACACCTCGAAAATTGAACCCAAAAACATCACGGAAGCCCTAAAAGATGAATTCTGGGTAGAAGCCATGCAAGAGGAATTACAACAATTTGAAAGACACAATGTTTGGGAGTTAGTCCCTAAACCGGAACATGCCAATATTATAGGGACAAAATGGATTTACAAAAATAAAACAGATGAGCTAGGAAACATCATACGAAACAAAGCCCGTCTAGTAGCACAAGGATACACCCAAGTAGAAGGAACATATTTTGAGGAAACTTTCGCCCCAGTAGCCAGAATAGAGTCAATCAGACTTCTCATAGCAATAGCATGCATCCTCAAGATAAAGTTATACCAAATGGACGTAAAAACAGCCTTGAATGGATATTTAAAGGAAGAAGTCTATGTTGCACAAAAAAAAAAGGATTTGAAGACCCTCACTATCCACAAAATGTGTTTAAACTAAATAAAGCCTTATACGGCCTAAAACAAGCACCACGTGCCTGGTATGAACGACTCACTGGCTTTCTAATCAAAAAGGGCTACAAGAGAGGAAGTGTGGATAAAACCTTGTTTGTCAAACACTATGAGCAAAACATTGTCATCGCTCAAATATACGTAGATGACATAGTTTTTGGATCAACACTCAAAACCTACAAGGACCAGTTCATTACAAACATGGAAGGAGAATTTGAGATGAGCATGGTAGGAGAATTAAATTACTTTCTTGGCCTACAAATCAGACAACAAGACAATGGAATCTTCATATCACAAAGCAAATATGCCAAGAATTTAGTCAAAAGGTTTGGCCTAGAAGAAAGCAAAGCTGTCAGAACACCTGTTCCAACAACAGAAAGAATATCAAGAGATTCAGAAGGAAAACCAATTGAACAAACCTTATATCGAAGCATGATAGGAGGATTGCTATATTTAACCGCTAGCAGACCAGATCTAAGCTTTGCAGTAGGGATCTGTGCAAGATACCAAGCCAACCCAACCGGGCAACACTTAAAAGCAGTCAAAAGAATCATTAAATACGTTAAAGGGACATCTGACCTAGGGATATGGTATTCCTTTGATACCAATCAACATCTCTCAGCCTATTGTGATGCTGACTGGGCAGGTAACATAGATGATAGAAAAAGCACGTCAGGTGGATGTTTTTTCCTAGGCACAAACCTAGTATCATGGATAAGCAAAAAACAAAGCTCTATTTCCTTATCCACAGCAGAAGCTGAATACATTGCTGCAGGCAGCTGTTGCACACAATTACTTTGGATGAAACAAATGCTAGAGGACTATGGAATACAACAAACAACCATGACAATCCACTGCGACAATAAAAGCGCAATAGACATCTCAAAAAATCCAGTTCAACACTCAAGGACAAAACACATTGACATCAGGCATCACTTCATAAGGGAATTAGTAGAAGATGAAATCATCATTCTTACTCACATAAGTACAGAAAAACAACTAGCAGATATTTTAACCAAAGCACTAGATGGAAACCGGTATACAAAGCTTAGGGCCGAAATAGGCCTATGTATCTTATGATACACATCAAACAAATAGAAACACATGGGCCATATTCACCAAATAAACCCACTAATCAAAACCAGCCCATCACAAAAAGACCCAAACCCGAATTCCCATCCAAAACAAAAGCCCTGTTTCTGAATCATCATCCTTACCCGACTCCACTCAAACACCCATCTGTGACCTTCTCACTCATCTCAAACCTTCACACAACAGGAACAATGGTAAGAACACGAAATCAAAGGATGGGAAAGATACCACGAAAAGCAACAACTAAGGGTACCTCAAACTACACCGGCACCGGAGAGTCCTCGAACCCGGTATGTGTCGAAGACGAAAATCCCAACATTGCAACGAATCCTGTTCCGATAGCCAGAGTACCGTTCGGTGAACCCCAAGAACAGAGCAACCCACCAGGTAACCCAAATCTCTCTCTAGCAGATCGTGAGGAAATCCCCATGCCCATGCCCATTGCGGCTGATTTCGGGGATAATAGGATTGTTGATCCAAATGATTTAGTGGTACAACTCCGGTTTGCCATAAATCAAGGCTGGGAACCTGATCTGGGCTCCTATGTTAGCTCTGTAGATGAAGAAAATCCAAGAGAGACTGATAATGAGGGACAAGAAGACTCTCAAAATCATGAGGTGAATCGTCTCCCCAGTCCTACAAATGATGAACAAACCCCAATCGAAGAAACCCCAATTTCAATTCCTTGGGTCAACAGAAACCCTAGAAAGAGGAAGATGACTGACCCGTATGAACGGGCTGATCCCAGGGCCAAAAGGCCAAATGATTTTCCAATACGGGCAGGACCCCCTCAACGAAAACCAAATATCCCACCTAAACCCTCAAAAACCAAGAAATCAAAAAGGACACAAACAGAGGATGAACAAGACTGGACACCTAATGCAGATAATGATACTCATAGTGATGAAAGAGTAAGAACCTGAGCCCAAAAGAAGTCCCAGCTAACTACCAAGGAGAAAGAAAAACAAAAGAAGCAACCAACCACCAAAAGGCATAAACTGTCCAGCAAGGAAAAGGGAAAACAGAAAGTAGGTATTAGTGCTGACATGGCATCCCTACCAAAACCCCACAGTACAACATTTATGAGAAAAGAAGCAGTAAGCCTATGGAAAAGAATAGTAGAAAGGAAAATCATCAGTCAAAAACTGCTTCCCATAGATAAGCTAGACAATCCAGAACAGATCCAAGAAATACTGATCACAAACCAACTCCTGGAAACAGTGACCAATATTGAACCTTATGATGAACAAGTTATACAGGAGTTCTACTGCAATATGACAAAAACCATCTCCACACCTAGCAGTCCTCTGTATGGAAAGGTATATGTAAGGGGCAATTTCTATGACTTCACACCAGACATCATCAACAGATACCTTGGAACATCTGAGATTGAACAAGAGACTGAACTAAACAGTGAACAAGTAGCCAAGGAACTCACAGCAGGAAATGTTAGCTTTGAAAAGAACAAAATCAAAGCAGCCTCTCTGACCAGCAAGTATGCAATCCTACAGAAGATAGCCCTTGCAAACTGGATGCCCTCACTCCATGAATCCACAGTGAAATGGACCTTAGCAGAACTGTTATACAAGATAGGAAAAGGAGTGAAAATCAACATGGGTTCCATCATTCATACACAAGTCACAAATTTAGCAGAAAATACCAAATCCAACAATTCCCTAGTCTTTCCAAATCTCATTTCTTCAATCCTGGCAAAACAGGGCCTCAAGACTCAAGGACCCATGACCACTGTCAAGAACTTCAACACAACTGTTAACCTAAGAAAGGGAAACCACCAAAATGATCTTAAATCCACAGCCCCAAAGAATAACCCACTTGATTCAAAGACACTGATCACTTACTTTGAAGGCAGACTGACAGAATTAGAAGCCTCAGAAAAACATCTTCTAAGAAAACACATGATCATCAAGGAAGAAAGAGCTGAAATAATAGAATGGCTGGCAGTACTAAAGGAAGAAATTGAAGAAAACCAAAAGCAAGGAACAGGAGAAGATATCCAAGAACACTCTCAAGAAACAGAAAATGAAGATAATCAAGATCAAAACCAAGGATCAGAAGAAGACAACCAAGAAAGAGATGCTGAAACACCTGTTTCAACACCAGAACCAGACAACTAGTTTTAGCAAAAAAGGGGGAGAAAACAGACTTATTTTATGTTGTCTACTAATAGGGTGGTTATGTATTTTGTGCTGCCTACCGAAAAAAAGACCAGTAGGCAGGTAGACCTTCTTTTGGCTGTCCCCACTTTTGTGCATCAGAAGATTGACAGACAAGCAGAACAAGACAAAGACCACTTTTTGTCTTTTGGTTTTTTTTTGGTGCTAACTGAATTAGCTAAACTAGCAGACACAACTAGAAGAATGAAAGACAAGCAGAACAAGACCACCTTTTTATTCTCTGTTTTTTTTTTTGTACTAATTGGCAGACACAACTAGAAGAATCAAACAACAGGCAAACTCTCTTTTAAGAGAATCAGACATAAGTACTAAAATGATCTCCAACATTTACCACCACAATTTAAGGGGGAGATCCACTGATCTAGGGGGAGACGCCTCCACGTGTTAACTCTAGATTGAAAAAAAAAAAAAAAAAAAAAAGGGGAACAAGGTTTTTGCTAAAATTTGACAAAGGGGGAGAGTGTTGACATAAGACATATTGTCAAATTCTAGTCAAACAAGGAATTCTTAATCAAACGTATCTTAGGATTTATATTCCTAATCCAAAGAGGATCGGCAATCCCAATCCCATCAATATCTCATCTCTTGACCTATAAAAGGAGCTGCTCCAAACAACTCATCAAGACACGCTTTCAACACCTAATCGTGAGCACAAGAGTAATTGAGAGAGATACCCAAATCCCCTTGAAAAGTAGTACAAGTGTTTAGGTCTCAATAGCTTGATAGGAAATCATATTGTGTAACCCCCGTTCCCTAAACAAAGTGTACTTTAAATATTGAGCTTTTAGTGGATTTAGGCAAATTCTCAATTTGAGAAGTGCCTCGCAGATTAGGGCTGCTTGCCCGAAACTGCGTTATAAATATTTGTGTCACAACGTCTGTTTCAACGTTACCAAATTCAAACGTCTATATTAATTTCAATTTCTTTTGAAGCTTAGTATAGACTCTTCTTGCTAAGTAATTTCTTTAGTTGGTATATGAGCTTCGTTGTGAAGTTAGCAATCAACCCTTGTACTTGGTTGTTCTTACAACAATTCCTTGTGCACTTCCTAAATTTTCCAAGTATTCTTTGAATTGGAAAATAGCAAAAATTCTTACCAAGAACCTTTCCTTGTGTAGCTTAAAAGCTAAGCCTAATGTTTAATTGTAACCTTTGAGTTCCGAACCCAAGCCTAATTTTTGTCAACCCAACCTCTAAACCACTTGAGCCAATTGTTTTTCTTGAAACTTAACCAATTCTAATTCCATCTAAACCATAAATTCCCACTTTACCCAAAATCCCCAAATTAAATCATCTTTTTCCCCAATTTCACCCAAAATCCCTAAAATTTCCTTTCTTTTCTCCTTCCTTTCTTTCTACCCGTAAGACCACCCAGCACCCACCCCTCCCCGTAGCTTCACTGCCACCACCACCTGCCCGTCGCCGAGCCACTGCCTCGCCGCTGTTCGTCGTCACAGCAGCCGGAGCCGTCGCGTCGCCGAGAGAGAGAGAGAGAGAGCAGCGAGAGTGAGAAGAGAAAAAGGAGAAGCCTTGGGTCCTTTTTGTTGAGCTTTGGGTCATCTTCAATCATGTCTAGAAGGTCAAGTTTGGCAAGGAAAGAGGAATGGGTGGATACCTATTACCTCATTCTTGAAGGTAAAGCTTTTGATCCGGAATCTTTCCCTAGCTCTTTGTTGGATATGTTTAGGTATCAAGGTTTGTTGGATGGGTTTCTCGCCATAAGGGCCGAGACTTACCCGAGTTTGGTGAAAGAGTTTTATCGTCACATGGTTGTGACAAAGGAGGCGATAAGTTGGAGATCACCTCTAAGGTGAGAGGTGTGAAGGTTGTGTTGTCTAAGAAGAGGTTGGCTCAGTTGTTGAGTTTGTCTGCTACCGGAGTGGCTCAGTATAGTGGTCATTCTTGGGTTAGTACGGATACCATGGGGTACCGTGACTATTTGAGCTATCTGTTGGGCCGTACGAGTGGTTTCACTCAAGGCTCTAGGCCGGAGAAGAAGTGGTTGTCTGCGGAGCAAAGGATCCTGGTGATGTTGGTGTCAGATTGTTTGTTGCCGAATAACAACAAGAGCAGTTTGTTGGGTAAGTTGGAGTACACCTTTGCTTTCTGTCTGAAGAATATGGTTAAGTTCAACCTGCCTGCTTTGATGATGCAACACATGGTGTTTTGCCGGGATCACAATCGGAAGAGCTTGCCGTATGGGATGGTGTTGAGTTGGATCTTGGTCAAGAAAGGTGTCAGTGTGGACGGTTGCCTCCCAAAGGCCGTAGGAAAGATGGTGTTGGATACCACCAATCTCCGGAGTTGTAATCTATTTCGGTTGGATGATGGTGAGTACATCACGCTAGAAGAGGTTGCAAGGAAAGCACCTGATGAGAGGGCGGAGTTAGCGGCTGAGCTTGGGATCCATGCCAGGAAGTTGAGCCTCGCAGTCCAGAGTTTGGGCGGTGATGAAGAAGCTGAGGAGGAAGCAGACCAAGAAGAAGATGTAGGAGCACCGGAAGCCGCCGAAGCTGAAGAAAGTGATTCGGACAGTGAGGAAAGCCGGAGAAGGAAGGAAGCTCGCACGAAGAGGGAGCACGACGTTGTCACCTTGCTTCGTCAGCAGAACAGCATGATCGCCGAAGGCTTTGCGTTTGTGAAGGCGCAGTTCGTCGCAGTGCATCAGAGGCTAGACCAGATTGAAGCCAGTTCTAGCCACAGGGACGAAGACGAAGAGGAGTCCGAAGAGGCTGAGGAGTCGGAGAGCGAGGAGTTTTAGTTTGTGTTGCGGTAACCCCGTTCTCTTTTTCCATGTTGTTTCTTTCTTAGCCGTTGTTAGCTTGGTGATAGGTTGTGGTGTGCTTTGTGTGCTTGCTTGTTCTGTTTGTTGCTTTGTTATTTAGCTAGTTTGATAGTGGTGTTTGGAGTTAGTAGTTTAGTTCTTGGTTGTTGTCTAGAAGTTGGTGGTTGTGTTGAGGTTAGAGTTCTTGATGCTCAATCTATCCGTTTGTTGACCTCTTGCCAATCCTTGAATTTGAAATGCCTTCTTCTTTGCCTTGGGAATCCTTGTGAGTTCTTTTGGAGTCTTTGACCAAAAGAGTTGTCCTTGAACTTCTTGTCACAATTTCGTGTCCTTTTCACTATTCGCTTTTAATTCGTCGTACCTAAAGACTTCTTCATTTCATTCCCTACAATTCCTAGAAAATAGTTCTACCTTCTCTCTAGAAAAGAATTGTAGCTTATTCTCCAAGCCAAGTTGAGACCCTTGTCAAGATTCCAAGATTTGCTTCAAAGATTCAACCTTTCACCTATTTGGGCATCTAGGAGGGTAAGATCTAAGTTCATCTTGTGTTTTTGGTTCCATCTTAGTTGTTTTTTTCTTAAAGGTAGAATCTTTATGATCTTTTGGTTTAATCTTGAAGTGGGTTTGGAAAGTAAGCCTTGTGGGGAGCTTGTTGTGGTGTAAAGTGAAGTCTTTTGGTCTTCAAGAGGTAACCCATGCTCTAGAAAACCTATTTTGCTTACCTATATGTGATTTCTTGGATTCTACATGTGTTTTGCTATGAAATGTGAGGGTTTATGCATTTGTCTTGTGATATTGCATATCTAGAGCTTGTGTTTAGGGTTCTTTTATGCCATTGCTTGGTATTTTCCATGATTCAAGTCATTTTGTTGTATTGGGTGAAATTTAGCATGTTTTAGACTTGAATTTGTGTTTGGAGAAGAAAATCCTCGAAGGGATTTGTTGTGGAACAGGGCTGTTCCCGCGGGCGGAACGGCGGGAGGGGCACCACCCGCCGGCCTACCCTCGGGTATATAGCCTGTGGGATGGTGTTCCCGCAGGCGGAACCATGGGTGGGGCACTACCCGTGGGTCCACCCGCGGGTACACGAGTGGTGTTTGTTCGGGATTTGTTCCCCGTGATTCTTTTGACTCGGTATTTGGTCTTTTGACTTCCCGATGTTCTTTTGTGGAACTATTTGAGTGTCTTCTTGATGTTTCGTACGTCTAGAACTATATGGTAGGTATCCATGTAGGACTTTGGTGTCTTGAATCATGCTAAGTGTTCAACATTGTGTTTCGTTGGACTAAGAGGTGTCTTGTGTGTTCCTCGGAACTATCTTGAGTTTCCCCGTTGATAAGCATGCTAGTTTGTTGTCTTAATGCTAGCGTGTGTGTTGTTTGTACCTTCCGTTTGGTTGATGATAACTTGTGTTATCCATTGTTGTTGTCATTGGGTTGTGACCCATTCCTTGATTGAGTATGTTTCATACCTTCGTTGTGATCCGTTGTTTGACTCTCGTGTGAGTGGTGGTGCGTGTGTGGCTCTACCTGGATTGCACGATTAGTGGTATGGGACACTAGTCACCAAGGTATTACAGCGGTCCTCATGGTGGCCGTGACGTGATTATGGAGTTGTGGCCTGAGTGATGGGTCCACGTTTTTGGGGGATAACATGTGTTATCCGGGCATGTGTTGCCGTGATTGGTGGTGTTCGTTGGTGGTTGTTGGTGGGGGACGACGGTCCCGGGGGAATAAGGTTAGACTAAGAAGTACAGGGGTCCTGGAGGTAATGGTTGGAAAAGAAGGTACAAGGTTGGGGGTAGCCATAAGGTTGGAACAGGGCATAAGGAAGGCATACCAACTCGTGATGGGTGATGTTGCGAGGGCTTGTAACCCAGCGTTGTGTGATCTTCTCTCGTGACGTGTGTAGTTACGGAGGCTTGTGTTATTGTGGCATGTGTTGCCGTTAGGTGAGTCTTTATCCTTGTGTGTGGTTAACCTTTGTGGTTTGGGATGTGTTCCCGTGTTATCCTTGAGAGTGATGAGTCTTGTGTTGACAGTTGATCTTGGTTTTGACTTATATATATGTATTCCGTTTCGAAAATGGTTTTATGACTTATATCTATCTATTTATGATACTTAACGGTATTGGTGGGTTACCAGCATTATTCGC